GAAATTAGAATGATTACGGACATACGGCTCGAAATTTCGATTTTAAAATAAAGTTGAAGCGAGGCAACGCTCTAAAATAAAAATACATTTTGTCTAATTTTACGTATTATAACATCTTGAATACGAAATATTGTACAGTCTCTTTTGTTAAGTAACGCAGCCTTTCATATCACATCTAAATTACCTTCTTTTCCGAGTTTCTCTTTTGCCACAACTCTTTCGCGCAAAACTCACTTTTTGAGATTATTTTTAGTTAAACACCCCTTTCAATTATCGCGATATTGTCAAGACTTCACATGCAAAATGAACAAAGTCATGGGCAGAAATTTAAAAATAGACTTACCCTTACCACTTCCGGAGATTTTGTGGACACGTCGTATTTAGGACGTGACTCGATCCTTCCCGCAGCAAAAATATTAAAAAAAATTTTTTAAAAATATATATATATGTATGTGAATAAAGAAAAATATGAAAAAATCACACCAAAACAACGAACTCGAAGAATGGCATTTGATGCAAACTGCTTCATCAGCGTTTGGAAGCAAGTTACGAAGACTCTCTCATCATTCTATCAATCATTGCACATGAAAAAGAAGAAGTTGATTACCTCTCTTGTCTCTTAGAAAAGGTTTTGGGTGCGGCGTAGGGTCGCGTGACTCTGGGATTATAACGTCATACTGAATAAATTTCCAATTTAAATTTCGTAATAGCGTAGTGAGCGGGCAGATCTTTATAAAAACAAGAACACATCCGATTGTTCCCCAGTTAAACTATAGGCCAAAGGATGATGACAAAGATTTTTCTCTCCCTGTTGGTGTTTAGTCTTTTATCGACAACATTAGGTAAGACCTTCAACAAAATGATATGATTTTCATTCGCTTCAAGATTATATAACTACTTCTGCCATCGCGAATCGCACCAACGTAGCTAGTATTGATAACTCGAAGGAGAATCATTTCGGAGTCACAGAGCAAGGAAAGATCGTTTCGTCTTCGATTGTAGGAGATGAATTCATGTCTTTACCAGTATTCATTCATCTGCGTGATGCAAAAGTGCGTTTTATCTTTCAAGTTTACTCGCATTCACAGTGTTTACATTAAGGCTGGAGAAGAGAATTGACCATAACATCTTGTTCAGCGCCACACTTTTGACGTTTAATTTTTTTTTAGGCTATAGAATGTTGAAAAAACGCTGAGGTTATAATCAAGAGCTTTATTAGTGAGGTGTTCTTTAATAAGTAGTCCAAGGAAATTTGGGTGATCTCGGTAAAAAATTTCGGTAGTGCGTCTGAAAAGTCCCTTTGCGTCATTGATTGATTGTAATCGAAGCTTCGTTGTTTGACTATTTTTCCGTTTCTTGCAATTCATTGATGACGCGGTCGCTTCTCTAGCTTCATCAGAATCTAAATTTACAAAATACTGCAATTATTCATCTGGAGTACATGTAACCAATTATCCTTGGATGAACTTGGCGTCTTTCTGAACCAGGCCGATAAACTAGGAGACATGAACGACAATTGATTTCAACGGTTCATTCGGAAATTGGTGAATTTCTAATATTCGATCAAAGCCAGCGGCGTTAGGCAACTCAATTTGAGGCGACTTACAGTAAGCAAATACCTCTCCGATAAAACGAACATTTTTTTTTCAGTTTGAAATCACATGATGATCGATACGATCAAACGTGATACAATATAGAAAAGTTGTTGTTCGTTTAAACCTGCATTCACGGGCAGAATTTTAATCGATGCAAATTAAATGAAAGTATAATTTAGGTTCAGCACCAACCGAATGCTATGGACGGAAAAATCGTAGTTTTAATTTTGCTGTCTGCTGCAAGTGAAACGTTGTAAACGGAATACCTTTTTGGTCAAACGAATCGATATTGTTACCTTGTTATCTATAGTGGGTAGTTTTATTTTAATTATTGCGGGGCCGATATCGAGGTAGGGTTCTTGTACTTCACTTAACTTTATTACCAAATATATTTAATTAACACTGAAGGAACTCCAACTGCCACAGAAGTTTCAC